GCATACAGACTCTGGTCCTCGGATTGTCTTAACCTCAGGGAGCACGGAGAGCACAGGTCCCTGTGCCCATTAGCACCCCGGTGTTCAGTAGGTTGAAAAGCTGGAAGCAATAAATGGTGGCCCAATAATACAAACCAAAAGTGCCACAGTTTCACTAGGATGGATTGGAAATCCGTTCCTTGAGAGACCATATAGGCTGAAGACAAAAATCGGATCAAGAAATGTTTAGGTTGGGACATGGCTTCTGAGGGGCCTGACTCCTATGCTGAGCATCTGTGCAACAAGCTTATGCTTTTTTTTTGAGATGGAGTCTCACTCTTTCCCCAGGCTGGAGTGCAGTGGCATGATCTTGGCTCACTGCAACCTCCAGCTCTCGAGTTCAAGTGATTCTCCTGCCTTAGCCTCCCAAGTAACTGGGACAACAGGCTTGCACCACCATGCCTGGCTAATTTTTGTATTTTTAGTAGAGACAGTGTTTCACTGTGTTGACTGGTCTCGAACTCCTGACCTCAAGTAATCTGCCCACCTTGGCCTCGCAAAGTTCTGGGATTACAGGTGTGAGCCACTGCGCCCGGCCTGAGAAGCATTTCTACATCAATGGTGCTCCAATTTTTTTTTTCACTATAGCCGAGCTCAATAAAACAGAAGATTCTTTGGCTCATATGGGCCTCACCTGGTCTGGTCTCACTTTCCAGGGAGATGGACTTTGATAATAAGAAAGATCTCTGTGACTGGCGGGCACCTGCTCCTTTTGCCTGTACCATGTTGTTTCCTCATTCCTCTTTCACAGTGCCCTGCTGCCTGCCTTTCTTTCTTTCTTTTTCTTCCTTCCTTTCCTTCCTTTCTCTCATTTCTCTCTCCTTCCTTTCTCTTTCTTCTTTCTCCTTCCTTCCTCCTTCCTTTCTTCTTTCTTTCTTTGTCTTGCTGTATTGTCTAGGCTACAGTGCAGTGGCCATTCACAGGTGCAGTTGCAGTCACGTACATTATAGCCTCCCACTCCTGGGTTCAGGTGATCTACTTGCCTTGGTCTCCAGAGTAGCTGGGACTACAGGTATGTGCTAGTGCACCTGGCTAATGTACCCTGCTTTTTGCTGGGGGGCTTTTCCTCTCCCATTCCTTGTGGTCATGCTGGGACTGTATGCAAGTGCCCCACCTCCAGCCCTGGTAAGGGCACAAGTCAGGGTGGGTGTCTTGTAACAGTGTCACTTCCACTGGAACACAGACACTGGGGGACACTGTCCCAAGACAGCCAATCAGAGTTCTTTCTGGAACAGCCAGACCAAGTTGAGCAAAAGGATCTTCACCAGGTGGTGTACCAGAGACTCTGTGAGCCCAGAGCTGTTAACCAGCCACGCCTGAAGCTGTCAATTGCTAGACCATCTGATTGTGTGAGCCAGTACTTCCCTTTTAAATTTAAGGCATTTGAAATTTGGCTTCTGTCACTGGCAACTGAAGAGTCCTGACTACAACAAGCAAATCTGAAAGGATGAGACATATGTCCAGTGCAGCAATAGATGAGCGGAAAGCAATAGATGAGCTGAACTATAGACAGGTTCATAGTTGAGCTGAAATTCAGACATGGACTGTAGATTTGTTACTGGAAACGTAACAGGCTGAAAGCTCAGTCAGTGGAGTATGCTTCCTGGCACGCTGTGGTATTTCTGTGCCACCTGACTAGCTCTGGCCCAAAAGATGCGAATGAGAGTCCATTGAATCAGGGTTCTGGGGAAGCTTTTGCTTTCCAGGTGTAAAGGGTAAGACTCAGCGGCCACGTGTCCTTTTTTGTTTTCTTTCCCCTCCTTCCTGCCTGAAATGCAGTCGTGATGCCTCGCATGCAGCAGAAATCTTGCTAGCATTAGGGGAAGGCCACAGGCCAGAGGGTGGCGGAGCAGAAAGCAGGAGGCAGCCTGCTGCCTGACGGTCCTGGGAGCTGTTGTCCCCTCCAGGGCTGCCTTCTCCTTGGCTTCTTGATATATAAGGAAGAGCAATTCTATTTGGTTGAGCAACTATGGCTGGGTTTCTGTCATGTGCAGCCAAACGCAGCCCTAACATAGACAATGTCCCACACTCATTGCATCCCAAGAAAGGCCTGGAACTTTCAGATCAGGTTTCAGCCTATCAGTGGCCCACACTTAGAGACTTGCCACCTTGTATCAACTTGTCATTTTTCAGATGAGGGACCTGGATCCCTGTATTTGTTTCTTGTCACTACTGCAAGAAATAACCATACACTCAGCGGCTTAAAACCACAGATTTATTATCTTACAGTTCTTGAGCTAAGAAGTCCCAAAACGGAAGTCCCAGCAGGGCTGCGTTCCTTCTGGAGGATCTAGGGGGGTCCATTCATCTGCCTTTCTAGCTTCCAGAGGCCACCTGCGTATCTTGGCTCATGGCTCCTTCATATTCAAGGGCAGCAGTGCAGTATATTCACATCTCTCTCTCTGACCTCTGCTTCTGCTGTCACACCTCCTTCTCTGACTCTTGACTCTCTTCTGCTTCCTCCTTATGAGGACTCATGTCATTACACGGGGCCCACCTGGGCCATCCAGGATAATTTCCCTATAGGAGCTTAGGCTCTGCAAGATCTGAGTCCCTTTTGCCATGGAAGGTCATATATTTAGAGGTTGTGGGGATTAGGATGTGGACGTCTCAAGGGGGCATTATTCTGTCTACCCTAGTCCTAGAGATGAAAAGTGACTTTCCCAAGAGTACCCACAGAGCCGGCAGAAAAGAAAGAATTATGGGTAGGCTCACACCACTGGCAGAAGCACCCTTTTTCCTCCTCCTTGGCATGAAGCTAAAGCCCAGCCATTCTCCAAGGTCCATTTCAGACTGCCCCCTGCCAAGAAGCCACTGCTGCCCTCCAAGGCCTGCAGAGGTCATCCTCTTGACTGTGTCTGTGTCATTCATTACCACTTGACACACATTTGGTCCGCAATCACGAAGGTCCATTGCTCTCTACCCAGTCTTGATTCTGGAAAGCCAGGATCACACCTTAGAACTTATTGCACCTCTAGTGCCCACTGCACAGAATAGGGTCTCAATACATGTATGGTTCATGACGGTCCTGGCAGTTTCTCCAAATTGACTCACTCAGCCCCTGGAAGACTAAAAACTGCATTTCCCAGAATCCCTTGCAGGGTGGACTAGGGTCCACCAAGCTAGACACAGTGAAAGAGAGTGGGTGGCTGCAGGTGGAGAAAGAGAAACTTCGGATTGCACAGTGGTGGATATGTTCTGTTCATTTGGGGGCAGCTGTGCTGGGGGCTGCAGTAAGTGATCGGGGCAGTGATCGCAATAGAGCAGTAAAATCAGGTGTTTCTCATAGCTGCATGGCTCCTGGCTGTGTAATTCCTAGATCCGTCTCCCCAGGAAATCTGTAAGCTCCTTCATGCCCCATATCAATAAAACCCCTCTAGGTGGAGTGGTTTCTATTAACTGTTACTAAGAACCCTTATATAAGGTGTACGATTCCCCAACCCCATTAGTGGAAATCCCTAAAGGGTAGGAACTATATTTTATTTCTCTTGTAAATAGCTCCCCTAATATCAATAAAATATGCAGAATTCGTTGAACTGGATTAAAGCTATAACAATCCAACGACTTCTTCATCCTTTCTGTGAAGCAAGAGCCTGAAATGGACCAGGCACAGTGGCTCATGCCTATAATCCCAGCACTTTGGGAGGCTGAGGTGGGTGGATCACCTGAGGTCCAGAGTTCAAAACCAACCTGACCAACATGGAGAAACACCGTCTCTACTAAAAATACCAAATTAGCCAGGTATGGCGGTGCATACTCGTAATCCCAGCAATTTGGGAGGCTGAGGAGAATCACTTGAACCTGGGAGGTGGAGGTTTCAGTGTCAGCTGAGATCGTGCCATTGCACTCCAGCCTGGGCAACAAGAGTGAAACTCCATCTCAAAAACAAACAAACAACAACAACAAAAACCTGACATGAAGTAGTGAAATATAATCCTTTCTTCTTTGAAAGCTCAGAGCTAAATTGGACCAAAAGTATGTTCTTGTTTCAATTTCATAATTTGAAAGGAAACTCCTCCCTTTCAATATCAATTTGTATTTATTGCAAAAATAATGTAACATTGAGGGGTATTTTACAGCTTATCAAAAAAATCTCCTGGGACTATCCAGTGTGATAGTCCCATTTTCTTCTCTGCCCAGTTCCTATGCATCTTCATCTATCAGGACTGTGACCTGCATACAATTTTTTTTTTTTTGAGACTGAGTCTTACTCTGTCGCCCAGACTGGAGGGCAGTGGTGCAATCCCGGCTCACGCAACCTTCGCCTCCTAGGTTCAAGTGATTCTCCCGCCTCAGCCTCCTCAGTAGCTGGAACTACAGGCATGCGCCACCGCTCCAAGCTGATATTTGTATTTTTAGTAGAGATAGGGGTTTCACTATGGTGACCAGGCTGGTATCGAACTCCTGACCTCAAGTGATCTGCCCATCTCGGCCTCCCAGAGTGGTGGGATTACAGGGGTGAGCCACTGCACCCGGTCTCAATTTTGTATTATATATATATTTTTTTCTTTTTTGAGACGGAGTTTCGCTGTTGTTACCCAGACTGGTGTGCAATAGCACGATCTCGGCTCACCGCAACCTCCGCCTCCTGGGTTCAGGCAATTCTCCTGCCTCAGCCTCCCGAGTAGCTGGGATTACAGGCACGTGCCACCATGCCCAGCTAATTTTTGTATTTTTAGTAGAGACGGGGTTTCACCTTGTTGACCAGGATGGTCCCGATCTCTTGACCTCGTGATCCGCCCGCCTCGGCCTCTTAGGCGTGAGCCACCGCGCCCGGCCTTTTTCTTTCTTTAATAGGGACGGGGTCTCACTATGTTGACCAGGTTGGTCTAGAACTCCAGGGCTCCAGCCGTCCGTCCTCCTCTGCCTCCCGAAGTCCTGGAATTGCAGGCGCGAGCCACCGCCCCTGGCTACAGGTGCCTTCTTGTTGTCTCAATTTGCTTTTGATCTTTCTTAGTTACCTGTTTTCTGCTTTTCTTGCTCTTTGTCCACTGATCTCCTGGGAAGAAAACTTCCGGAAAGGACACCCAGGCCCCGCCCCAGTACCGGGTTTGCGCCCGGCCTTCCCGCCCCGCCCCTCCTCGCCCGCGGGACTACACTTCCCAGGCGCTCCTGCGCGGCCGCGGTACCCGCGCCGCTTGGGACGTGGAGCCGACGAGCACTGTCGGGCGCCATGGCCCCGTGGGGCGAGCTCTTGGCTGGCGTGCGCGGAGTGCTGCTCGACATCTCGGGCGTGCTGTACGACAGCGGCGCGGGCGGCGGCACGGCCATCGCCGGCTCGGTGGAGGCGGTGGCCAGGTGAGTGGGTCGCGGGGCACTGCTCGGGTAGCGGAGCTCTAAACTCAGCCAGCTCCTTCTGTTGCCGGCCGGGGACGGGGAGGAAGGGGCGGGGCCTTGGTGCCGACCCCGCCCCATCCTCCCTTCCAGCCGGGGTGCGCTCAGAGCTGACCTGGGAGGACCCCACTGCTGCCTAGGGTGTGCACCAGGCCTCGCGCGGTCAGACAGGGCCGCCACTTGGTACGTGCGCTACTGAGCGCTTGACATGCGGCGAGTCTGAGTTGAGATATGCTGTAAGGGTAAAATGCACACCAACTAACAATACTTGGCCGGCGGGGTGGCTTGCACCCGTGATTCCAGCACTTTCAGAGGCGGAGGAGGGAGGATCGCTTGAGGTCAGGGGTTGGAGACCACTCTGGGCAACATAGGGAGACCCTGTCTCTAATAAAAATGTAAAAATAAGCCGGGTGTACGCCTGTAGGCCCGGCCACTTGGGAGGCTGAGGCAGAAGGTTCGCTTGAGCCCGGAGGTCAAGGCTGCAGTAAGACTGTCTTGGGCCGGGCGCGGTGGCTCACGCCTGTAATCCCAGCACTTTGGGAGGCCGTGGTGGGTGGATCACGAGGTCGAGATCGAGACCATCCTGGTCAACATGGTGAAACCCCGTCTCTACTAAAAATACAAAAAATTAGCTGGGCATGGTGGCGCGTACCTGTAGTCCCAGCTACTCAGGAGGCTGAGGCAGGAGAATTGCCTGAACCCAGGAGGCGGAGGTTGCGGTGAGCCGAGATCGCGCCATTGCACTCCAGCCTGGGTAACAAGAGCGAAACTCCGTCTCAAAAAAAAGATTGTCTCAAAACAAAACCCCCAAAAACACAAGACTTAGTGAGAAAAATATAAAATAACATGAAAACGGTTTTATGTTGTTTGCATGTTGAAATGACAATATATTTTTTATTTGTTTGGTTTTTTTTTTTTTTTTGAGACGGAGTTTCGCTCTTATTATCCAGGCTGGAGTGCAATGGCGCGATCTCGGCTCACGCAACCTCAGCCTCCTGGGTTCAGGCAGTTCTCCTGCCTCAGCCTCCTGAGTAGCTGGGATTACAGGCACGCGTCACCATGCCCAGCTAATTTTTTGTATTTTTATTAGAGACGGGGTTTCACCATGTTGACCAGGATGGTCTCGATCTCTTGACCTCATGATCCACCCGCCTCGGCCTCCCAAAGTGCTGGGTTTACAGGCTTGAGCCACTGCGCCTGGCTTGTTTTGTTTTTTTGAGACAGTCTTGCTCTGTCGCCCTGGCTGGAGTGCAATGGCACGATCTCCGCTCACTGAAACCTCTGCCTCAGGTGTCCGAATAGCTGGGGTTACAGGCACACGCCATCATGCCCGGCTAATTTTTGTATTTTTGTAGAGATGGGGTTTCTCCATGTTGGCCAGGCTGGTCTGGAACTCCTGACCTCAGGTGATCGGCCTGCCTCCGCTTCCCAAGGTGCTGGGATTATAGGTGTGAGCCACCTGCCTGGCTGATAATATTTTTAATATACTGTTTTAGGTTTAAATATTTGAAATTAATTCTACCTTTTTTTTTAACTTTTGTTAGTGTGCTTATTAGAAAGCTTTAAATTACCTTTGTGGCTCTCATTATAATTCTATTGGACTGCATTGGCTTAGGTGAGAAGAGGAGGAAGAGAACATCATGCCCACCAAGACTTGACCATGGAGGACACTTTTCTTCATTTTTTTTAGAGACAAGATCTCATTATATTGCCAGGGTAGTCTTGAACTCCTTGGCTCAAGCAGTCCTCCTGCTTCAGCCTCATAAAGTGCTAGGATTGCAGGCATGAGCCACTGCGCCTGGCCTAATTTTTTTTTTTTTCTTTTTGAGGCAGGATCTTACTTTGTTGCCCAGGCTGGAGTACAGTGGTTCAATCTTAGCTCACTGCAACCTCCACCTCAAGGGCTCAACAGATCCTCCCACCTCAGCCTCCCAAGCAGCTGGGACTACAGGTGTGCACCACCATGCCCAGCTAATATCTTTGTATTTTTTGTAGAGGTGGAGTTTCGCCATGTTGCCCAGGCTGGTCTTGAACTCCTGGGCTCAAGCGATCTGCCTGCCTCAGCCTCCCAAAGTGCGGAGATTAGAGGCGCGAGCCATGGTCCCCAGCCAGGAGGACACTTATAGTAGCATGGTTGGCACCACTGGACCTGGGCTTTGTAAGGTCTCCTGTTGGCATCCCAGGCCACACTGCCATATGTTGACAGGCAGTTGGGAAGGGCTAATTGCCAGGACTTGGCCTCCCAGAGTCATTAGCTGGGGCACCCTGGTTTGGTGGCCTGATGTCACTGGGACTCAGTATACCTACCTGTAGATGGTAATTAAGTGAGCCTCTTGGTCCTGCTTAGAGACACCGTCCTACCAATCTGTATGTCTGGGAGCTGCTGAGATAATAGGGACCCAAACAGTCCTGCATAGCGAAGCCAGAGGTGTTTGGGAGGCAGGGAACTGGGAACAGGGAGACTTGGCTTCCAGGAGCAAGCATGAAGGGCAGCCCAGACCTAGGACACTCCCCTGAAGGTCAGAGCTAAATGCATTCCTGACCTTATTCTCCATTACCCTAAAGCTTTAGACTGGCTCTGTCACAGATGAGAGCATCCTGTGGGTGGCACTGATGGGAATCCGGCAGAGGGCTCTGGGCAGTGATGTGGGGTAAAGTGAGCCTCATTTGGGGAGCTGGAGGCCAGAGCTCAGTGTTGTGACTGGGGCAGGCAAGGCCTCCTGAGGCTGGCGTTGTGGAGGGGAGAGGCACAGGAAAGCTGCAGGCACACAGGTAAAGCACCTCAGCACAGGTGGGCCTAAGGAGTGTGAAGACGGGAGGGTACTGAGAGCGTGATGGGCGAGGGTGGTCTGTGCTAGAGAGGGGGTGGGGCAGCTCTGAGGAGAAGGCACTGGACGGTTCTGGAGGGATAAGTGGGAACCATCTGCGGGAGGAGGTGGAGGAAGCGCATTCCAGGCAGAAGGGTGGTAGCAGCAAAGGCCTGAGGAAGAGAGCCCTTGGCGAGTTGGAGGGGCTGAAGAGTCCCGTGTGCCCAGGAGGAGTATGGCGGTGGGAGTGGCTATAACAAGTGGCCTAAGGCAGGAACTTGAGGAGCACTGAGGGGTGTCCAGACTTTATCCTGAGTGGCAGGAAGTTGGTGAAGACTTTAGATAGGCATATCACATGGTCTGATTTTTATTTATTTATTTATTTATTGAGACAGAGTTTCACTCTTGTTGCCCAGGCTGGAGTGCAGTGGTGCGATCTCGGCTCACTGCAACCTTCACCTCCCAGGTTCAAGCAATTTTTCTGCCTCAGCCTCCCCAGTAGCTGGGACTACAGGTACACGCCACCATGCTCAGCTAATTTTCATATTTTTTGTTGAGATGGGGTTTCATAATGTTGGCCAAGATATGCTCGATCTGACCTTGTGATCCACCAGCCTCAGCCTCCCAAAGTGCTGGGATTACAGGCATGAGCCACGGCGCCTGGCCTGATTTTTGTGTTTTAAAGAAATACAAATGTAAAAAGTGAGACATACTAGTGCAAATAAAAGCAAGGGAGATTTCCTTTGAAATCTTGGAGAGAAGGACTTTACCTCCATGCCTCAAAATCTAGAAAGCAAAGGCAACAAACAAGCAGCCCTATCAATAGCAATGTGAGCAAGGACAGAAACGGTTCATGAGAAAGGAAGAACGAGCAAGGCTCAGTTTTACTTAAATAAGAGAAGTGTGAATGATCTTGGCTCACTGCAGCCTCTGCCTCCTGGGTTCAAATGACTCTCATGCCTCAGCCTCCTGAGTAGCTGGGACTACAGGTGGGTGCCACCACGCCTGGCTAAGTTTTGTATTTTTAGTAGAGATGGGGTTTTGCTCCGACGGCCAGGCCGGTCCCGAACTCTGGGCTTCAAGTGATCCACCCACCTTGACCTCCCAAGCTGCTGGGATCACAGGCGTAAGCCACCACGCCTGGCCTGAGAAATGCAAATTAAAACTATACCAAGCTGCCGTGTTTCATCAATTTGACAAAATTAGCCCAAATCCAGAAGTTTGAGAACACATTCTCTGTGAGAGTTTGTGGAAACAGACCCTGCCACGTTGCTTGTGGAAGATACATTTGACATTATCCACTCACTAGTGGTTCCACTTCTGGGAACTTGCCCTGTCTCGTGCGTGAGAAATGACGCAAGTACAAGGTCATTCCTGGAAGTGCCTTTGAAATAGCAAAAGCCTGGAAGCAGCTCAAATAGCCATCAGTAGGGGAGTACTGGGTCTGTCTACACAGCAGAATAGCATGCAGTGTGAAAAGGAATGCTCACCCCCGTCTACACACATATTAGTAGTGGAGACAGCAAGCACGCAGCGGGGTGCACGGTGCGCTGCTTCTGGTGTAGAAAAGGCAGAAATGCTAGATATTCCTCCTGGTGTTTGCATAAAGATACTGGAAGGACACAGGCTGCTTCAGAGTCTGGGAAGAGCTGGAGGATGAGGAAAGTGGGGGTCCCTGTGTGGCTGGAGACAGGGTAGGAGAAAGACTCCTCACTGTATAACTTTGTGTGTCGACATTTTTGTTTTTGTTTTTGAGATGGAGTCTCGCTCTGTCACCCAGATTGGAGGGCAGTGGCACAATCTCGCCTCACTGCAACCTCTGCCTTTCAGGTTCAAGTGATTCTCCTGCCTCAACCTCCTGAGTAGCTGGGATTACAGGTACCTGCCACCA